GTTCTACATTATCTAGTGATTGCGTTAACTGAACTCTAACTTGAATACCGTCTACATTTATAGACTGCAATCGGAATATACCATAATCTACGTTGGATTATACCACTGGGGAATTAATCAAACTTACTGGAACCATCAATCATCTATAATTTTGGACTTTTGGAACCAGACTCAATCAGAACAAGCACCAACTTTGCTGAATTTAGTAACGTCCCTCAATTTTTTGTGTTTATAACATTTAACTTATATATATTGACAATATTACTTGTACTTAAAAACTCTATTATCATTTTTCGGTTCATATATTGTCTGGTCCAACACAGTATAAGTGTTTATAGTATTCTGTAGACTCTTTAAAAAGCTTTTCTTTGTACAAGTATCTGCACTTGCGGAGAGTCAAGTTACAAATATTTCGAGCATCCCGATGTTGAGATTTCGTCTCGTCAGTATCAAGTAACCTAAATTTTTCCCACGTTCTTCTCCTTTTACTGAGAAGGTTGAAGACATGTAGAACTATGATCTATATTCGTCATTGGTACATTTGTCTTTGCTTCTACAATAATAAACCTAACCTCAAAATTGCAGATGTCATGATGTAAAAATCTAATCTATAAATCTTGAAAAGAGAACTCGAAAATTGGGCAGGCAGTGTTCAGAAGAAAAGATATTCAGGGATAGACCATAGGTTAAAATAGATTAAGGTGTTAAATGGGAAAACAAGATGAAAAATTAAATCCAGATAAATATCCAGTCTTCGACTACGTCGACTAAGGGCCATATTTACCAGTGGTTGATGCTTTAACAAACCTATTTCACTAAAGCAGGTAAGTACTTTTAAAGGTTGTTAATGAACCACTATAGCTATTTATAAACATAAATTATCAGTTATTAGCATCGAGTACTAATCAATTCACAACACGATAATACACGTGGGCATAAATCAACAGAATAATAAAAAAATGATTCAACATAAGTAAAAATCAATCGATAAAGTGGACAGGAGACTTAATGTCAAGTTGAGCATCTTTAATCGATCTTATCAATTCGTTATTAGTACATTTGCCTTCGCTACAATGATAATAAACCTAACCCCTAAATTGTAGATGCGCTATGATGTGAAAACCTAATCTATAAGATCTTACGAGAACGTCACACAATTGTCTACACTAAATCGTCCTATTGCAAAAATCAGAGATATAACATCCAACACATTTGGACTGAGAAGAGTGTAATATATTCAACACAGAACGCGACAGGTTTTAGACAGAGTGACTACGCCTTCACGGCCAAGTCATGCTGCTCGAAATCATTGTTCCCGTGTTCGCCCTTACTGACCTCCTCCAAGTGTTACATGTTGAATGTCAAGCTTCTCAGCAGTTATATGTTCAGCTTCGAGGATAGTGTGGTTAGGAATTAACGCAATTACAAACCTCTCTACTGAACCACGGTGAGGAGTTTCTCGGACACTTTAGTGCAGTTCAAGGGATGTGCGGTACAGTGACTTTATGCACGAATTTCCAAACACATACCAGGCCGTTTCAATGGGGGACTCCGGTTCCATTGTGTAATCTACTGAAGATGCCGAGTGCATAATACTTTTTATATTTGTTCTCCAGATGGTTGGTCTAGCTTGGTATGACATATCTTCGTTATTGACATCCAAATGGAAATCAAAGGCTAGATCTGCATAATCATTTCTGTCAAGGGATGACATATAGTGGAGTTTGTGAAGTCATTCTCATAATGGGTTAGTATGAGATCTAGTAAGGATTGAAGATGCCACAGGCATTTGGGGTTTGACAAGTAACACCTCCTACTATGAATCGTACCCACAAAATGAAATCAAAAGACAGAAGCGAGGAGGTTCGAAGATATATTTGATAGGCTCTCAATATATCGAGGATCGACTGATCTAGATTGGCTAGCGATTACACGAGAAGTTGACCACAGCATTCCTACTCGTCATCTGGTGCGGATACATGACCGGGCGCCTTCATCAGCTAGGCGATTCCATTAAAACTGATGTGGTCGGCATCCAATGTCGAAGGTTTACAGAGCTATTTATTTTGGGGATTTATTTACCGCTATAGAGTGATTCAGAGTCCGGGCCGCACCTAGTCGCTTCTTCCACATGTTGCACTAGGGCATATATGATAACCTCAGCAACTAGTTTTTGTTCGAAAGAATTTTGTGACAATTCAGTCCTCAGATTTTTCAAGCCCATCGTATGTACGTTATAGCCTCCTAAAATTTAACGTCGACCACTTGATCACCAAGTGTTGAGACTGTCCAGCAAGGCCTCATTTACCTCACAGATTGGACTGCAACAGACCAAATCAATCAGCAGTTCTTGCCCTTTCCATTTCAAGCGGCAACTAACTAATTCGAGCATCACACTTTCGTGGGATATGTTATCAATAGCGGTAATATGGGATATTATTTCTGATAAATAGCTACTGTTCCTCCCTTATACTTCTAGGTTCTGTTGGCTTTTCCTAATGCGAAACTATCAAGTTTCCGTGACTGCGATTGCATCCGGATTGGTAGAGTTTATCTGTACATTTAGCTCCGATCTCTTGTTGAGCGAGCTCCAGGCATTTATGCAACAGAACGGAAGACCGACTTAATTGCTTCATGACGCACCCAAAGTGGCTTCGTCATCATTCTTTGTCGAAACCTCAACACATCCGAAAATTTATAATTCCAAGGTCCTTCTTGTCAGCTTCCGACCCTAGTTTCGGCTCTTTTTCAGCTTATTGTCTTTTTATGCGGTCCGCGATCGGCGAGTCTTTACGGACAAAAACCATTGACCCCTCCAGTTTATATCCATTCTGTAGTATTAAGGCCCCTTACGTTGGGAGATCTCAATACTACCTTTAGCAGCCATGGACTTGATTCTGTATTAAGGCCATTTGGCTGCCTTGTATATAAAAACTTAGCAAAGTGACTTTAGATATATCCTGAGGCATTAGCTGGTTTAGTAGCTTTTTTATAAACTCAGTGTCATGCTGGAAACGAGTTCTAGGTTCTGAGCTTTCACTCTCCTTGGCTCAATGAAAGACAACTGACCTGTCACTATGGTCAGTCTTCAATTTCTCTGCTACTGTTTGAGGGAATGTCTTTTCTTTAGCAACATTACATCGTTTCTTATTCTTGATCTGTACCCATCCATCAACTTTCATTGAAGTAGGGATCACAGTCGCTTTACACACATTGAGGGGCTCTGGATGACTATCGATAAATTGAGTATTTGTTTTTGCTTTCCTGCTAGAAAAAGACCTGGGCTTGCGACTAGGCTTTCTAGGCGTTTCTTTCTCACTGCCATTTGGAGGACGTGGGACAGAAGAAACTTGCTTTCTCGAGCTTTTATTTCTCCTGCATACCTTCTCTTCAGATACCTATCTCCAATATTAAAAACTCTCCATACACAACATATTATTAAAAACTCACCGCTGTTTAAATCGAATTAACAAACCAGAAACTTGACAACGAAATCACGATAAGTCATGGCGTCAACTCACAATATGCTAGCATCCCGACTATCAAATCTTAGTACTTTTTGGTTAGCTAGAATGGAACACAACTGTATCAGGATGATTATTGAGTACCAGTGAGTTCGTCGAGACCTTAAACTTTTGTTTAGAAGTCAATTAACTTGCGTTTAAAGGAAACTCATGTAGACAGACCATTGAAGCTGCGATGGATTTCCCTGTGTAACCTGTAGGAGCTGATACTATTTCAAGCACACGTAGGTTGTCCGAGCCTCTGGATAGATCAGTTTATCTATTCTTCTCAAATCACATTTTACGCTGTCGCTTATTAACCTTGACTGTTTCTATGTAAGCGTATGTGAGTGCATTTCTTATCTTACTCATCACATGTCTGTAACTTATTTTTGTTCGACTATAAATATAGATTCACACTTGACTCACTCGCCTTCTCTATTGCGCGTCATCTCGTTTTGCTTCGCTTTCCAATCACGATTGTACGAAATACACATATTCGAAAATCCACGGCGCGCAATCCTAATTAGTGTTGGAGGTGGTCGGAAGCAAGTGGCGACCGAACCAAAACGTGGAATCAGTCCTTGAAATCACTAACTTCTAGTCTGAGCTATGTTGTTAGACTCAGACTACTTGGTTGCAGTCCGCGTGACTATTGTGACCAATGGTTGGATGTGTGACATGGATCAGAACGGATCACAATGATACAGGTGTATGCACTCTTTGTCTTCCCTTGAACCATGAGATTAAAATTACTTTATACCTTTCTACGAACTAATTCTTCCTTCCTGTATAATATCTTTATACACAACCTTTCTTTTATATGTTCCTAGCATTGAAGTAACTACTTCTATGAATTTGGTGTCGTAACATTTGTTATTGAAAATTCTGACAGCTGTTCTGAATTCCAGATGTTTTTAACTGTAGGAACGTTTCCATTCCTCCACCAATCCGTTCTTTCACATCTGCAGATTCCCAATGCCTATAGATGATGTCGCCTAGGTACGTGATTTCCTACATCTTCCGGAACTCCACCAAGTGTGGTTTGGTTGGTGCTCACTGTTGTATTTCAGAATCCTGGTTATTTCATTCTGTATGTTGAGGCCTACCCTACCCCCTCAGACTAATACTATCAACGTGTGTGAAAAGAAAATCACTTCAACACACTTTGTTTTTAGAGTTCGTACACTTATCAAATCAAACAATCTACACCTGTCTGTTGCCTGTATCAATTCATTTGCTTGGCAGCAAAAATTTATTCGCGCAAAACAACCTTGACGAGTTACCAATCTAAGCTGAGATTTTTATAGATCCCGGTTTACTATTACTTCGATAAAGTTAATAAGTTAGTAAGTAGCGAAACGTTAGTAAGAATAATTTTGTTTCTTTTCCCTCACCGAAAAATATGGATTTTTAATGATGACGGAAAATTTGAATTTAACAAAATATTTGTATATATTGCACATTTAGTATGTTAAGATTCAGAAAATACAAAGGTTAAGTTGATTGACAGGTACGTACAATAACTGGCATTGGTAAATTATTATATCTGACTGGACTGCCTTTTCCATTTGTAAACTGTGATGTCCAACTAATATACGCCTGTCGAATTACATTTTTAATAGTTTCACTATTATCTATTACACGCCACCGGTCTTTTAAATTTACTTGACTACGATTACTATGTCGAAAGGATTGATGCCAGATTTGAGACCAACTTTTCGAACCAGGAGCATACATTACTCCATGCCATAATGCTATAGATTCTTCAATTGTCCAAGGTGTTTTGTGTGATTTCCATTCCTCTTTCGGAAGACGGATTATATACTTCCTAACTTTCTTTTTTTCTGGAAAAAGATACGAACAAATTGAGTAATCCATTCAACCAAAATAAATTATGGTCAGTTAAAATCAGGTTGAATGCTAAGTCATATAATTACGTTGATGAGACCATCAATTTTAACTGATATGTTTTAAAAATCCGTAAACACAGATCATTTGTGTGCACTTTTGCTCAGTAATTTGGAAGAGTTTAATTTATATGAGTTGAGGAAATCAACTTCATGCCTTTCGAGTATTACTCTGTCGAAATTAGCTACTTTATTTGTAACAGTGCTCTATAAATAGACATTATTACTTAATATAACAGTTGTATAACTATCTGGATTTACAGATGATAATCTTCGAACGTCTGAGTAGTTAAATGTATTACTCCTTAGTGATAAAACAAAGTTTTTATAGATACTTTAAAAAGAAAACATATACCTTCAGGGACAGGTGTACACGTTGATGTTGAGGGTGATGGCCCACAAAATTGTTCAAAGCAACATTTGTCAACTAATTTTCTTCCTTTTTGTTCACAATCCATATCAGCGTTTTCATTACCACTAATTATGGGCGTATGTTTCAATCCCTTACTATCGGCTAAAATTACTAGAATAGTGAAAACCAAAACAGCAGTATTGAACGGATGATACGGTAAGTTAATTACACATTTGCTTATTGAAAAGGAATTTCGACACCCGAAAAGATGTTAGTGCAATCCAGACGTTTATTTCTCTTACTTGTTATGATATCAAAATAAAGATATGCTCTTATGAAAATCAATTATTCTGCATAATTTGAAGCTGCATCTATCAATGTTTTCACCTAGCTCTCGATTTCTAAACAACGAAGTTAACATGTTTAGCGCGTAAAACATACAGGATACGCTGTTTACGAACAGGTTTAACCCCTTCAGTAACTCATATTACGCGATCTTCTCAAATGCTGAGGAATGATAAGTTCGTAGCTTAAAAAACGCTCGGGGATTCTATTTTACCGTTAGACATTGTTATTAATTATATCACGACAGTGTTGTAGTTTTTTGGCGTTGGTGGTATTTACTTAAACGAATGATGTTTGCTTCAAAAAACTTGGATGTAGTTCTTTTAAACAATTGGTGCAGTGAACCAAAGGTGATGGATATTTTTCTCATCTCGATATCGACTGCACAAAGTTTTATTAACAACGAACCAATTATTGTTACAATGAGCCGGTTGAAGTTAGAGCCCTCAGATTAAATAAATGTTGGTAATGGTAAAGATTACTAAGCTTTTATTGTACAGAACTCCCTAATTGGGGTCAACGTTATTTCTACATGTATGCAACAAGCAGAGAACACATTCACAATGCTTTTAAATCAGTCACGTGTAACACAGAACCCGGCAGATTTTCACATCGGTTCAAGTTACCATACCATATTAGCACAGCAAGATGAAATTATCAAGATAAACTCCAGAGTAGCAGAAATATTAACAGTATCAGTAGTTATTAGTATTTAAATTCAATTGTCAAGAAGCCCTAAAGCTATACTTTTTGTATTCTATAACTTGTTAGTAAGCTATGTCTGCGACGGCACCTCAGACAATTATTTATGCATGATTTTCAAATAAACGTTGATAAATATTACACCGGGAAAGTGGGGAATTTCGAATCGCCTTTAGTTAAACATGAAATAATGGAATGATTTTCACCGAGAATCAGCAACGAACGGAGAATTATTAAATGTTAGATAGCACTGGACACAGCTATTTAACTTACAACAGGTGATAAAGTAAGAAAAAATTCGTATAAGATTGTCACAAAATGACTTAAATATATATTCCAAACTCAAGTAGTCAAGGTTAGTGAGTAAAGCTGAGTGAAGGAAATCTATATATCATATAAATATCTACTACCTAAATTTGTAATTCTTTCACTAAATATAAAACATTCGTCAACTATCAGTGATAAATACACTATTATATGTTTTAGGTAGTTACGATTGGTAGCAATGAGTCAGGAGAGTCGTGGTGTGCAAAGAATCTAAAAAAGGTTAGTAATCTATTTTACTGGAAATTGCTTTTTAAAAATACTTTTTTACGGTAATGGATTAATCGTCTAGAAAAAAGTATTACTATGATTATAGACATATATATCGCAAGAACATTTTATTATCCGATCAGTCGGTTAACGAATGTGTACATGGTCTCCGGGGCACTTAACAATAAAATGTACAAATTTTGTTATAACGAAGAGTTTTAAACACATATGGAGATTTCCCGGTATATATACCTGGTGTTTGGAGTTGTTCAAGTGGTATTTCGTCACTGAATCGCCTCAAAGTATCCAAAGTAATAAAAACTGATGACAATTTAAGTAAATGTTGTTGAATGTTGGCAAGACTGGGTAAATTTTTATTATCTGCTTTATTTAGATCCTATAAGTAATTAAAAACGATTTTAAACAAGTAGTAATATTTTTCTTTAGAAAAAACATAATTATAGGGAAAATGATATGAAAACAGTCCCAGCATAGTTGCTGAAGCATAGTTACTATCCCAGTGTTTTAGCTGACCGTGCTCAATTATGAATACTAGTGAGTAAATATGTCCTCAATACCTTTAGAAGATGAAGTAACTGTGCTTGGCTAAATTAGAAACAATCCGAAATAGAGGCGTATAGATGGTATGAAAATGCACAGTTCCTACTAAATATAAAAACTGACGAGCTAGAATAAGTTTGGGCCCCCAAATGCCCTGGTATGGCTGAGGGCGGGGTGGGTTCGCCCTCCCTCTCGAAATACTCTCACATGGCCACGCGTATACAGCCTCTGCCAGGGAAGTCCTACTCACTGCCTTCTCGTGGTGGGGGTGTTGTTTACGAAAATGAGAGAACGAAAAGCGAATGTCCGGCGCTTTAACCGGATTCCAAATCAATGGTGTACATGGGCTCCAGTATCCTGCGGGAACAAATGGCGTATGAACCAATTGTTGGTCACCGGCTACCATGGGACTGCATCTCCTTACGGTGCTCCATTGCCTTGTGGGTTAGACCATTTGGTCAAAGGCTCGGAGTGTGGCCTCCTAAGAAAACCACGTGCTTCGGTTTGGGCACCCGGGCAGTATCACAGCCCACACACGATGAACTGAACTGTCTATGATCATGGAAACTAATTCTCCTGCTTCGACGAACATTCAAATGATTCAATTATTATTATTATTAATATTATTATTATTATTTACTAAGTCATTTACTCACCCTCTTTTATTCCTACTCTGTCTATACTTATTTTTTTCGACTTATACAGCAGCTCGCCAATGGTGGAAACTCGGTTCTTTCTAAACGTTCTCGAGTCACTGCCTGGTTGAAAACTGTATGCTACCACCAAATACGAATACTGAAGCAGTTTTTCTGAAACCATGTGCACCATTCAAACTGACTGCCTTCAACGTTCGCACATTTATGCAGGTCGGACAACAGATAGGGCTGGCTATGTCTTTGGAAAGTCTTAATATTGACGTGTGTTGTCTATTCGAGACCCGTATTCAAGACTCTGGTGAAGTACTACAAATTCGCTCTCCATCTATCGCTTCCAAAAGCTTGTTTCACGTGCGCTTACCCGGGTCCCTGTGGCATCTTCGTCTGGTCTTGTTGGCGTTGGTGTCGCACTAAGCGCTAGAGCTGAGGCAGCACTAGTCGATTGGATTCCCATTAACAGTCGGTTATGTGCTGTTAGATTAGAAAGTTCCATCAAGGTGAGAAGAAATCGGCGTGAGAAACGATGTCTTTTCGTCATCTCCGCCTATGCCCCGACAGATTGCAGCCCGGATGCAATCAAGGATGAGTTTTACCACCAGTTATCTGTTCTTCTCCAGAAAGTGCGTTCGACAGATATTGTAGTACTAGTCGGAGACTTGAATGCTCAGGTCGATCGTCTAGGCACAGAAGAGAGTCGTTTAGGTGGCCGATGGGGACTAGTTGGTCGCAGGACAGATAACGGGGACCGTCTACTGCAGCTGTGCACAGACCACAACCTGTTTCTGGCTAGCACTAACTTTCGGCACAGTCATCGCCGATGTGCCACCTGGCATCCTCCGTCTCCATCTGAAGCCTGGACTCAGATTGATCACATCACGATCAGCTACCGCTGGCGTGGTTGTGTACAAGACTGCCGCTCCTTCTAGAGTACCTATCTGGACTCTGACCATGCCTTGGTCTGCGCCAATCTTGCCTTACTTTTCAGTGGACAACGAAGTGACCGCCATCAACGGATTGATATTAACAAGCTGGTTGCAACTTCTGTTGCAAGTAAGTATCGAACCGAGCTAGCCTCTAGGCTAGCTACCATTCCACTGAAAAGTATAGATGAGCATTGGTTGCAATTGCATGACGCCATGAAAATGGCGGGAACAGTCAGTTGTGGGTTTGCGAAACGTCCCGCTTTTAAGCACTGAGTTTCTTCTGGTTCCTTACAACTCATTGAAGCCCGTCGGTCTACTCCGGGTGACCGTGAGTTTGACCACAAACGAAGGTTGTTATGTAGCGAAATTGGGCAAAGCTTGCGTAAGGACCGAGAAGCCTGGTGGTCGGAGCGTGCTAATGAGCTGGAAGCAGCAGCTGCATCTGGTAATTACCGGAAGCTCTTCCAACTCATCCGAGCCACTGGCAGCAAGAAGTCTGGTGTGAGCGAAACAATCTGCGAGGATGATGGGATGCCAATCACTAACATCCATCGACGTATTGGACGATGGGCAGAATTTTTCGAAGGGCAGTTCAACTTGCCTGCTGCTCCGGCAACATCGGTCAGACTGTCCTGCCCTCCATGGCCGGTGACGACTGATCCACCAAATGAGGCGAAAGTCCGCAAGGAACTCTAACTCTTGAAGCGCTACAAATCACCTGGCCCAGATGACTTACCTCCGGCTCTTTTTAAAGATGGTGGTGACTTTCTGACTAAGGAATTGACGTTGTTTACAAAGGTGTGGGAGCTAGAGAGTGTACCAACGTCATGGAATGAGTCGATAGTTGTCCCTATCTTTAAAAAGGGTTCACATCGTTCCTGTAACAACTATTGGGGGATAAGTCTACTTCCGATTGCGTCCAACCTATTGGCTTCCGTCATACTTCGTAGGTTGTTTAAAACCCGAGAAAGATTGACTCGCGAGGAGCAGGCTGGGTTTTGTTTTGGTCGAGGATGTATTGATCATATCTTCACCCTCCACCAAATGTTAGAACACCGCCATACTTTTCAAAGGCCAACAATCGTAGCGTTTCTTGACATCAGGGCTGCCTTCGATTCTTTGGACAGGACTGTTCTCTGGGATTGTCTATTGAAGAAGGGTGTGCCTGAGAAGTTTGTTAACATCCTAAAGGCCCTATATACAAACACCTCAGACAGAGTGAGGGCATACAACCGCCTCTCTCCATTGTTCTATTAGAGCACTGGGGTTAGACAAGGTTGCCCAATCTCACCATTCCTCTTCAACTTTGCCATCGACGACATTCTAGAAACAGCTCTGATGGATGTAAGTAATGGCAGTGTGGATCTGTTGCCTGGAGAAAGACTTCTCGACCTTGAGTATGCGGATGATATTGTCTTACTGTGCGATAATGCCCAAGCCATGCAATCCGCACTTAATCAGTTGGCAATCAGTGTCCGTAGGTATGGTATGTGCTTTGCACCTTCCAAGTGCAAAGTACTTCTACAAGACTGGCAGGATTCTAATCCTGTACTCACCCTGGATGATGAGCAGACAGAAGTAGTCGAGAAGTTCGTGTATCTGGGTAGCTGCGTAAGTGCTGGTGGGGGTGTGAGTGATGAGATCAATGCACGTATAGTGAAAGCCAGAGCGGCTTATGCCAATCTTGGCCATCTTTGGCGCCTTCGTGATGTTAGTCTGGCTGTAAAAGGTCGGGTCTACAATGCGTCGGTGAGAGCAGTTTTGCTCTATGCTTGTGAAACCTGGTCTCTCCGAGTTGAGGACGTTAGACGACTCTCTGTGTTCGATCACCGTTGTCTCCGAAGGTTTGCTGACATCCAGTGGCGACACCATGTCAGTAATGCAGAGGTTCGGGATCATGTGTTCGGGCACAGAGATGATAATCCAATCGGTGTCACCATCTTGAAACACCGACTTCGGTGGCTTGGACATGTTCTCCGAATGTCGTCCCAGAGAATTCCACATCGTGAATTATTTGCCGACTCCGGGACTGGTTGGAAGAAGCGGAGAGGTGGTCAGTGTATGACATGGTGTCGTGGCATGAAAGAAAGCTGCAAAGGGCTGGATTGTGTTGGACCTTCACGACTCCCTGGTTGGGGTCCGAGAAATGGTGCGACACAGTGGCTAGAAACGTTATCAGATATGGCTCAGAATAGAAGCCAGTGACAATCCTGCTGTAACCTTATTTTACTTTCTTCATAAAAAGTGGTTGTATCTTCCTTAACTGAAAGATTTCTTCTGATTGTACCCTTCTTTTCCCCTACTATTGCTATTATTATTATTACACTACCTTACACCAATCTCCTCGTTATTGTTTATTATTATTTTTTTTTTATGTTCCTCACTTTTCTTTCTTAAATTCTCATTGTTTTGTGTGGCGCATATATATTCGGCGCACTCCTGTAACTGTGATCAAATAAAATAAATAAATAAATAAACACTATCCCAATGTTTTAGCTGACCGTGCTCAATTATGAATACTAGTGAGTAAATATGTCCTCAATACCTTTAGAAGATGAAGTAACTGTGCTTGGCTAAATTAGAAACAATCCGAAATAGAGGCGTATAGATGGTATGAAAATGCACAGTTCCTACTAAATATAAAAACTGACGAGCTAGAATAAGTTTGTCAAACATATATTAAAAGTCGAACAATAACGCAAATTAACACCAAATTATAGGTGATATATGTGTATCAACCAACAGCTCGAAACCAGTAAGTTCTGATGTTTTCTTTGATAATCTTTTTTTTATTTTTAAAATAATTAACAAGTTGACTCTGCAAAGTTGAACTTCGAAGGATAGAAATTCTAGGAATCTCTCTGCTCATTACTAGTATTCTACTGAATGAAAGCCAAGTACTTTAGCCGTTAATCTATCGCTCCACTCTAAATCCCATAACCACAAATAAATGGCAAAGATAGTTGGAAGTTAGTTTGATAAAGTGAAAAACCAAAGAACCCAACAAGTAATTAGATGGATGCAACCATGAAATAGGTTAGGAGTGTATACTGATGAAAGAAAACAACTAAGAAACAGGTATGTTGTGAGTCATTTTCAAGTTTAGCACAGAATAGACTTCCTATGTTCATATTAGTCATTACCAAGTAAAGAGGATTATGAAATTCTCACTAAAAAATAGATATTCTTTGTAAACCTAACCTGGTAATCTGTTTGCACCTGTTGAATGATTTGTATAATACCGCTCTTATCATACGCCAGTCTGTAAATGTTACTGAACAAATTTGAATCCATATGAATATTCAATGAGATTAATGAGTCCTCAATATTAACAGTGTCTTTCATTACTTCACGTTTAGTTAATGTTTTTAATGCTGAAATGCTTAAGCTTTCATTATCCTCTATAAGAAAAAAAAGTAATTTACGTGGTGCATGGGATTTTCGAATACGGTTCAAAAACTTCCTCTAAATCCTCTTCAGAAGACTAGATGTAAATTTATACAATAAAAAGTATAACTTGCCAAAGATGTATTTGTGAATTTGATACAATGTAACATTCTGCTACAGTAACTCCTTAATTTACAACAATAATCAATCCAGCCAAACGCACGCCTAGATGAAGTTTTCTGTAATATAAAAAAAGATGCAATAAACATTGATGTATGTTTGAGCCCTACAACTTGTTAACAATCGCTAGCTTAGCAACAAATATTTATAGAACCGGGTCCTGGAAAGCAAACAGAATTTTAAATCTTAGTTCCACACTTACTCAGCGTCTTTAACACCGATAAAATGTGTCCCACTGCAGCGTTAAGATCTATGGTCAACCATCCTATTTGCTGGATGACAATTCTGAAACTGAATCCATATAGGGACGTTTTTATTTACATGGTTTTTCAGCAAAGACTACATTTTAATATTGATATCCTTCAACTAATTATGACCAGATAACAAATATGTACTGAAAAGTATCAAAGAGCTATAGGTGAAATTGTTTTCTCCTATTTATTGTAGACTTATAATTTTCGGATTCAAGCACTCGACCATCACAAGTTTAAGATTTTCTGTACATACTATCTGAGTACTTAAATGACCCGTACACAAAAATACGTTGCAAAAGTATCTGGTGAGTTGCTTCATGAATGTGGTAGTCATTCACCAGCAATTAAAGACAGATTTCTATTTTGTAGTGAATACTTCATAGTCACAATTGTGAGATTTTAAAGCTCTACCAGAGGGAGGAAATTTGACTTCGCTATAGAAAGTGCTTCGGAATGGGTAGATCCACGAAAATGACTGCCAACATGGATTACATGAAGGAACTGCAGAAAATTCATCTGGAGTCTCACTGAATGCTGACAGTCACGTTAAAATATCTAAATAGTATCAAATATACAACTTAGGAGTTCGATGTATATCTATAGATCAAGTTATCAGAGTACCCACTTCGAGTTAGTTCCCAATATTATTCAATTTCTCATTGGCTCCAGAAGTTGAATGAGCTTTGGAATCCATGACACAACAGCTAAAATCTTATTATCTAAGGACATGCTCTATGGTCGGATAACCACTCCTATACTGAAGAATTCATATTTTCTTTAGTTTGCTACGTAATAAAATTAATGTCTGCACACAAAACTGTGTTCTTAAAAATGAACGAAAAAACTCCACTTGTCACATTATGTTTGTGACGCCATTCTGACTAAACTTATGCAATACATGATTACTATTACTACTCATTCGAGAATATCTAGGCACATCAGATTTATTTATTTTAACACAAAGACATTGGTACAAGGAGGCACCAAATACATATGCGCCACACAAATCTCATTCGATATGTGTGAGGGCTGTGATAATGCCCGGATGCCCAAACCGAAGCACGTGGTTTTCTTAGGAGGCCACACTCCGAGCCTTCGACCTGAAGGTCTGATCCACAAGGCAGTGAAGCATCGTAAGGAGATGCAGTCCCATGGTAGCCGGTGACCAACAATTGGTTCATACGCCATTTGTTCCCGCAGGATACTGGAGCCCATGTACACCATTGATTTGGAATCCGGTTAAAGCGCCGGACATTCGCTTTTCGTTCTCTCATTTTCGTAAACAACACCCCCGCCACGAGAAGGCAGTGAGTAGGACTTCCCTGGCAGAGGCTGTATACGCGTGGCCATGTGAGAGCATTTCGAGAGGGAGAGCGGACTGTCCCCACTCTCGGCCGTACCAGCACATCAGAACTCAAAACTATTATTTACCCGGGTCGGAATTTCTAGTAACAGTAGGGAAAAGATATAGGTTATTTATCAAGTGCATAGAATATACGTTTATTTTTCAAAGTTATTCTGCTTTGTATTGAGGTATTTTCTCTTGAAATACTGTCGTGGCGAAGTTTAAATGGTGGGAAATATACGGTAATAAATGTCCTGTGACCACTAACCTGTTATTGACACCAAGAAACACTCAGCATCAGTGACAGTGGCAAACAAACTTGTTCAGTTAAGTGGTGAAGCCCTACCCATTTAGAATTAATTTACATTTTTATCGGGTTGGATGGTGTTTAACGGTATTCGACTTCTAAAAGGATGGGGGTGACTTAAATGTAGAGACTAAAGTAGCAAACAATTGACCTATATTACCTTAAATAGAGCTGACGCCTTAAAATTACATGGAATACTAAATGGAAACTCAATGAAAAAATGTACTATTCATTTCATACTTGGGAAATTATGAATTGTATATTCAGAAGCCTGCTTCCCTGTATATTTTCGTGATTTTATAACCTAGATATTTGAAGTGGGAGCTCAGCAAAAGCTTAGAGATTTTAAGATACCTCAGACATTTTGAACGAGTTGTAATAAAAAATACCAGTTAACGGCTTAAGATTAAACAACTGCCGATGAAAATCCAAATATCCTACATAAACAGAATATAAACCATATACTTCGAAAATCTTGTTATTGTTCATACTATATTAAGTACAAATATATATATATATATATATATATATATATATATATATATATATATATATTTCTCCAGTTAAGGTTCAAAGGTAAATTATTCTTAAACGACGCCCTCAAATGCCCTGGTACGACCGAGGGTGGGGAGAGTCAGCTCTCCTCGAAATGCTCTCACATGGCTATGTGTATACAGCCACTACAAGGAAAGTCCTACTCACTGCCTTCTTACAGTGTGGGTGTTGTTTACGAAATTAAGAGGATCAAAAGCGAATGCCCGGTGCTTCAACTGGGTTGGTGAATATGGAGGATTCACATAGAGTTGGAAAACCCCGACTCCAAACCAATGGTGCACATGGGCTCCAGTATCCTAAGGAAACAAACGGTATATGAACCAACTGTTGGCCACCGGCTACCATGGGACTGCATCTTCTTACGTTTCACCACTGCCTTGTGGATCAGACCTTTATATAGAAGGCTCCGGGTGTGGCACCCTAAGAAGACCACCTGCTTCAGTCTGGGCACCCAAGTGGTATCACAGCCCACACACAAATCAAGCGACTTGTGTGGCGCATATGTACTCGGTGCCTCTTTGTACCAATATTTATGTTCAAATAAATAAATAAAAACATTAAATCAGTTGTGGAGAATTATTTTTCAAAATATGAAGGAGAAAATATGGAACTCAGTAATTTATTGTATTGTCAGGTAATGCAGTCAAATATATTGTTAGTGTAGATCGTATAAATACATTTAGTTAACAAATTTATATTAACTGTCTAGTTCAACATATTTAAGTTAGCTCATTAACCGGGTCACTAGGTTACACACTATTCAGTGTAGTTTTGATTGTTTTTAAAACGGTTATGGATCTGTGGTTGATGAATATGTAAATCTTCATCTACAGTCTTACCTTCTTCCCTTACACCGGGTGGTTTCAGCTCTTGTCCAGTTATACAGGGTCAAGTAGACAATGGTCTGTGGTCATGATAGGTTGCAGTATTAATATTTTGTCAAATTATTAGACTTTGATGACGTTTCACAGTTCGAGCCGTTGGGTTTTTTTAGTGATAATGCATAGCTGAAATAGTTATGGCAAACTTACCTGTTACAAATAACTACCAATCCTTACGCAGTTAGATACCATACGGGAGCGAATAAAAGTTGCGCATTTAGAAGAAAAATCAATTAAAGTCATTCATTAAATACTGTCAGGTGCTACCTCATTTCTGCTTATATGAAAAACACAGCAATCTATTGCCAAGGCAGCTAGGAATCGGGTTGTGAGAACATTTAACGGATAACTAGTAATTGTAGAAGGATACATGGAGTACTTCGCGCTATCAACACAAGAGAAGTGTCGTGGAAATATTTACGTTAAGACTAATGAGTTTAATATGTGAAGCATCAGTCCAAAAAACGCATGCACCTACGACTCTCGAAATTAAACGAAGACTAATGTGGCTTGGTTTTCAGGCATTATTATTTTATTTTAACACACAGGTATTGGTACAAGGAGGCACCAAATACATATGCGCCACACAAATCTCATTCGATATGTGTGAGGGCTGTGATACTGCCCGGGTGCCCAAACCGAAGCAGGTGGTTTTCAGGTAAAGAAACAAGTTTTGTGTTAGTGATACTATACAGCGTAACAGTTGCAGTAATCCGAAGCAATGGATAGATATGTATTATATTCACCTATTTTACATAAAAGCTTTGCATTCTCAATGCACAAGGTTAAAACAAACATGAGGAGTATATGAAGTTAGTTACAGAAATATCAAATTAACGACACGAACGATAACCTGAACAACCAATCACGTATAATGCATTTTGCGGCACATTATTTTGAGACATGATACCTAGTAATGTCATTAGATTGTGTTTTTATTTTTCGAGTCACTGTCCTGTAAATAAAAAACAGAAATCTATACCCACTTTCAACTGAAATTCCTCCCAAAAGTCAATTTTCGGCTTAATAGTTCAAAACACTACGTAATATTGATATGAGAATTACCATGTCATTGACTTTTAACAACTATTAAGCAATAGTTATTAGTCCAAACTGGGGTGAATCCATCGAGAAGTGAAAAGTAAGGTATGTCCGAATACAATGAATAGTATAAAGTGAGGATTTCAGTTTGAACAACACAGGTAGTGATGTTGGTGCACTAAGAATGTGACGTTTTAACAGGATAATGATAGTTCCACTTAGATTATAATGCCGTCAGTAAATATCCTTAAAATTAGGCCGGTGAAACTATACTATGCCGATGACCTTAAGTAAACTCAAGGGTGACCTTGGGGTTAAGCTATAAGAGTGCTACTTACACACAAGAGACCTAAACTACAGAAAAATGGTAAAATTACAAAGGATTAGGATACCCAAAGATATCAGTCAACTCATTAGTGCTAAATAGCAATAGGTTGTAGGTCATAGTTATCTGATCAGAAAAAGTACTAACCCTTTGCCTTAAGTCTTTTAAGAGCTAAATCAACACTAAAACTTCCTGGCTCTAACTCCCAACCGAACACGGTAAGACTGTACTATAGCAAAGACCACCAAATGCAAGGAGTGACCTTGAGACCAGTCAATCGGAGGGCAGATTATTTGTAAACGCTCAGAATATAGTGAAGCGATAAAAATGAGGAGGACACGATGTTTTAAAATCAATAATGGACTTACTGGTGCTAAATAACGATCATACAGACTAGATATCAGTCCTGTGATTAGGACACCATGATTTTTAGCTTTACATCTAACAAAACCCAACTTCTAACCCTGAAGCTACTAACCCTAACGCCTAATCCTAGTAATCCTCATCTTAACACTGATAGCCCAAACATACTGACCTTAACAATTTATCCCACGAGGAAACCACCACCCAGTCTTTTCGAAATAGGAAATATAATGAAAACCAAGAGTTTAGTTGCAAGAATTCCAAATTCGCGCACTGGTTAGCTTAACCCTGATTAATCACCTAAGTATAGTCCTACCGGTAGCATCAGTTCCGGTGTTTTTAGATGTAGAGCCGAGAATCAGGGTCTGTCTTTATTACAAAGCTAAGACATTTAACCTGAAAAATCGATATTTGACACTATTAAGTCCACCTAACCCCCTGCGATTTATTTGTTTTGACATATTTCGGAGTTCTCATATGAAAACAGCATTGATTGATTATTTTTGATCGGCGAGAATAAAGGCTACTGACAAACTAGCGGTAGGTCATCAGTACGGTGTAATCTTGACATAAACTGTTAAACTCTTAACTTCAACACTCCTAGTCTTAACAACCTAAAACCTAATATACTGACTATAAAAGTTCCTACCACAAGCAAATCATCACCTAATCCTATAGAAATATGATGAAAACCGCGAGTTTCAGCAAAAAGCTTAGCATGACAACTTCTACAATTTGTGCGTCGACCCAATTCATTCCGAGTTGTCAAGCAAGGCTACCGATGTAATATAGTTCTACCCCTAATATACTTTTAGATCAAGAATATTGGCAATTAGATAATTTGGGAAGTAATGTAAAGACGTACCATCAAAAACTTCAGGTGATTTGAAAAGTCCATCAGGGGTTTAGGTACTTTGGAATATTCCAATTTTAATTCATTTGTAATGTCATTAATAAAGGCAAGCGTCTCTATTACTATGTCATTGACTATTCCAGCCATGCGGATACCTCCAGTGTTGTCACTGAGGGAAGCAGGAAATGAAGATGCGAATTGACAGGTCCATTCAACAAATGTATCCAAAAAGATGACTTTCAAACCATGAATATCCGCAAACGTTGACGAAAACTCTTGACCAACATCAAGAACCAGTAGAGAATCTTAAAAATAAGTATAGTAAGTCAATAGAACCTGTAAGAAGTTTAAGATAAGAGATATTATTTGTTTCCGATAGCGACCTGTGGATTGATTTGACGAAGTTATATGAAGGGGTAATCATAACCACATCGTCCATCGATGAAGGTTACTGATCACTTGAAGGTCAAACTGTCGAAAACGATTGAAGCGCCACCTCGAAAATTCGGAAGGCTTTGCAGAAGCGGTCAAACTAAGACAATTTAAATTTCAGTTCAGCCACATTATGTCTGATAGCCTCCATCCTTCAGGTAACAAAAGTGATAGCACCGTACTGATACATGTTATAGGACAAATTTTCAGCGATATTATGTTATAGCGACAATTTACCAGTTGAGATAGATATGAGACCTGCCTGAGGAAAGCACATGAGATATTAGGACTTCTGCGGCTGATAATTCTTTGTGGAGTATACTCATACTAAGCATTTTATAACAGTATGGATAGTACCATGAAGTTTGCACGAATCTAACGTCTGAGGCTCTCAAATAGTTTAGTAAAAATGGTCAAATGTGGTTTTATCAGTAGTCTTGCTCGAAAGCGAACAGCTTGCTATACAAAGCAATTGCAATGGTGAATGCTGATAGACGGAGTATTGAAAATCCTAAATGAGACAAATCAAACGGTACTCGCCCGCTCGATATACAAATTAACGTGACGCTAACCCAAACAAGCAAAATGTCGATTGACATACGTGGGAAAAAGGATGAAGGACGGCTTATAAAAAGATCCGTTAGGAATAAAAGCTCGAGAAAGCAAGTTTCTTCTGTCCCATGTCCTCCGAATGGCAGTGAGAAAGAAATGTCTAGAAAGCCTGGTCGCAAGCCGAGCTCTTTTTCTAGCAGGAAAGCAAAAACACAAATACTCAAGTTATCGATAGTCATCCAGAGCCCCTCAATGTATGTAAAGCGACTGTGATCCCTACTTCAATGAAAGTTGATGGATGGGTACAGATCTTTGGTGGCCTGTTGATCTGACTCCTATTTAGATCGTATAAATGATTGTCACCGCCTATTCTCGTATATCATCGTCGACTTGAATCGTGTTAGTCAATAACGGAATAAATAAAGCTACAGACATGTGATTAATGGAATAAGAAGGGCACACACATATACGCTCAAATAAAAACAATCAAGACTGACAAGCGAATAATTGACAAGGTCAACATATGACTCAAGTAGAATGAATAGATTGGTTTGTCCAAAAACTAGAATAAGATATATAGGCTTAAAATAATGACTGACACTACATAGGCCCCTCGTAGAAAATAGCACATTTAAAAAATGTCTGTTTTCGAAAATCACAGTGAAAAGGTGCGTAGTTAACGTTAACAGTAAGTAGCGGAAAAAAAATTGTACGACACTCGATAAAGTACAGTGTCACATGAGGGGTGAGTGTATTATATGAAAATGTCATACTTATGCAAAAGAATACATGAATATGGAAAAGACGCGGACAAAAATGGAAATGTTAGCATGCGAATATGAGCAAATTAATGAGCGTACAAAAAATTAACATGTACTAATGCTATGACTGTCTGAACGATAAAATAACAAGTTTGTATGAGCAATTCAAAATATCGTGAAAATAGTAATAAATTGTTTGTGGGTATGACAGGGAAATAAATCATCAAAATGAGTACAGTAGAATATGACAGAAATTGGTCTGTAATGCTGACGAAATAGTGAAGTACGTTAAATATATGTTCTGTTGAGCCGCAGCAGAACAAATAGCATCGACTAGTGATGAGTGAATTCGAATTTAAATGCGTAGTTCCCGTTCGTAGGATAATAATAGTCAAGTCGTGAAATGATAACTGCTTCGACTGGTGATATTCGTTGCTGTACTACAATTGATAATAATCATAAGATGTGAAGTCAGTGCACGTTGTCGTCTGCGTTATGACCGATGCATCGAGTTATCGTTGAATATGTATTAGTAGAATGACCAGAGGAACAGAATAGTGACTGAGTAGACGAGGTACGTAGAGTCGTATTCCTTTTTGGTCGTGAAGCCTAGAGTGGTTTGTGTGGTTCGAGGGAGATGCGCTCGATCTCGTTTGTTACAAAACCGTACTAAGACATGACAGAAATACCAATACATATGATTAGCGATAGCGACGTATGAGACTGACTTGGATGTAACGAACAAGAGTGTATCTTTGAGAGACTAGCTCTAAATTCTATGTTCTGATATACAGTGCGATGGGTATAGAATAGTAGTTGCAGTGCTCGAATGACGTTCTTGGTTGATAAATGATGCAGCTTGCAGTTATGCATGTGAAAAAACAAATAAGATGAACGTAATGGTTACTAATCAGCTAGTTAGAAGCATCCACAGACATAATAAGAGGCGATTTCGAAATGAAAAATGTATGTTATGATAACATAAACTAATGACCTCGACGAAGTGAATGAATGTAATATTAGGTCAAAATGACATGAAAAAAATGGGAACGAACTCACTTAAAGCAGGAAAATTGCACGTTTTCGAATAGTAAAAATATCATAATGAGTCCTCACAAAGTGGAGTGGAATTTTCATAAAATGATAATTTGTTCGGTGAGTGATATGATTGTGAAAATGTCAATTTAGTGACAGCACGAACAAGATTAATAATTCCACATCCGGTCATGATATTGATAATAATGTAATAATAAGCATATAATGATAATTTGAATCGTAATGGAACAAACCGACGAATAGACCAATGAGAATGGTTGACATGAGTACAAATTATCGATAAGATAATACGACTTGAGCATGTCCATACCATGATGCACAGTTTTTGCTGATTGCGTCGGATTGGATATTGCGCTGGCTTCGCTGAATGTGTTCGTCGAACGTATAGAGTGCAGAAATCTCTTCATTGACGTAGCTTGCTGTGTTGCGTTCGTCGTCGGCGGGCTTACCAATTTTTGAAACCCGTCATTTTGATTTTGTCTTCGTTTAGACCGGAAGATGCTCGTTGAAGAGCTCACCAATTTTGGTGGCTCATGGATCTGACTCCAAGATCGTATAAATGATTGTCACCGCCTATTCTCGTATATCATCGTCGACTTGAATTGTGTTAGTCAGTAACGGAATTAAATAAGTCGAATAACGAGAATTGACTTGAGAATACATGTATTTTGTAGATCAGGCGAATGAAACAGAGTAGAGCGAAATGACACGCAGGGAAGATGGCTGGGAAGCCAACTCCATTTTAGTAAAGCGTTACTCAATATTTATAGTCAGACAAAATAAAGCTACAGACATGTGATTAACGGAATAAAAAGGGCACACACATATACGCTCAAATAAAAACAATCAAGACAGACAAGCGAATAATTGACAAGGTCAACATATGACTCAAGTAGAATGAATAGATTGGTTTGTCCAAAAACTAGAATAAGATATATGGGCTTAATATAATGATTGACACTAAAGATCAAGAATAAGAAACGATGTAATGTTGCTAAAGAAAAGACATTCCCTCAAACAGTAGCAGAGAAATTGAAGACTGACCATAGTGACAGGTCAGTTGTCTTTCATTGAGCCAAGGAGAGTGAAAGCTCAGAACCTAGAACTCGTTTCCAGCATGACACTGAGTTTATAAAAAAGCTACTAAACCAGCTAATGCCTCAGGATATATCTAAAGTCACTTTGCTAAGTTTTTATATACAAGGCAGCCAAATGGCCTTAATACAGAATCAAGTCCATGGCTGCTAAAGGTAGTATTGAGATCTCCCAACGTAAGGGGCCTTAATACTACAGAATGGATATAAACTGGAGGGGTCAATGGTTTTTGTCCGTAAAGACTCGCCGATCGCGGACCGCATAAAAAGACAATAAGCTGAAAAAGAGCCGAAACTAGGGTCGGAAGCTGACAAGAAGGACCTTGGAATTATAAATTTTCGGATGTGTTGAGGTTTCGACAAAGAATGATGACGAAGCCACTTTGGGTGCGTCATGAAGCAATTAAGTCGGTCTTCCGTTCTGTTGCGTAAATGCCTGGAGCTCGCTCAACAAGAGATCGGAGCTAAATGTACAGATAAACTCTACCAATCCGGATGCAATCGCAGTCACGGAAACTTGATAGTTTCGCATTAGGAAAAGCCAACAGAACCTAGAAGTATAAGGGAGGAACAGTAGCTATTTATCAGAAATAATATCCCATATTACCGCTATTGATAACATATCCCACGAAAGTGTGATGCTCGAATTAGTTAGTTGCCGCTTGAAATGGAAAGGGCAAGAACTGCTGATTGATTTGGTCTGTTGCAGTCCAATCTGTGAGGTAAATGAGGCCTTGCTGGACAGTCTCAACACTTGGTGATCAAGTGGTCGACGTTAAATTTTAGGAGGCTATAACGTACATACGATGGGCTTGAAAAATCTGAGGACTGAATTGTCACAAAATTCTTTCGAACAAAAACTAGTTGCTGAGGTTATCATATATGCCCTAGTGCAACATGTGGAAGAAGCGACTAGGTGCGGCCCGGACTCTGAATCACTCTATAGCGGTAAATAAATCCCCAAAATAAATAGCTCTGTAAACCTTCGACATTGGATGCCGACCACATCAGTTTTAATGGAATCGCCTAGCTGATGAAGGCGCCCGGTCATGTATCCGCACCAGATGACGAGTAGGAATGCTGTGGTCAACTTCTCGTGTAATCGCTAGCCAATCTAGATCAGTCGATCCTCGATATATTGAGAGCCTATCAAATATATCTTCGAACCTCCTCGCTTCTGTCTTTTGATTTCATTTTGTGGGTACGATTCATAGTAGGAGGTGTTACTTGTCAAACCCCAAATGCCTGTGGCATCTTCAATCCTTACTAGATCTCATACTAACCCATTATGAGAATGACTTCACAAACTCCACTATATGTCATCCCTTGACAGAAATGATTATGCAGATCTAGCCTTTGATTTCCATTTGGATGTCAATAACGAAGATATGTCATACCAAGCTAGACCAA